TTCTTTCCCATTCTCAAACCTTATTTTCCTATTACAGAGAGGTAAAAAATAAGTTACTTCTTACCTCTCGCTTTGAAACTAATTCTCATTATTAAAGAACTTACCAGAAAATGAACGAAGAAACTGCAATGAATTTTTTAGGCCCAATAAAATTCTTCTCTGTTTAAATTCAAATTAAAGCAAGTTAAACCTCGTACAGACTAGTTTTTAATGCGTCTGGTAAACTAAATTTCGTTTTGTTTTTAAAAAAAATTATTGTTACTTATTACTGCACAACACTAAACATCATTCATTACTAATATAATAGTGTAACAGATCAAAAAGTACTTTTTTCTTTTGCAGTTTCAAAGTATACTTATTTCTATGCTAAGAACTATCGATGAATTTAATAGAATAGTTTTATAACTCGATATTTCTGATTAGTGCCTCAGAAGACGGGTAAGTGATTAGTTGACTGATTGCCGTACAGAAGGGCTCAAATTCGAATGCCAGATAAAGGCATGGATGTACATCATCATGCCCATCTGTTCATAGGATAAATGTCTTTGTGAAAGATTTTCTGAGCGAACCTGTAACGTACAATAATATTTGTGTTCAAAGATATTAGCAAAAGTATATAAAATAATGTTTATAAAATATATTATGTAGCAATTAGAATTTAAATCGTAAACACACTTTCAATATGAAAATCAAAAACGGATGAAAACACGTGCCTATAACTGTAAGAAGTTCTCTGATCAATAGCACTGTGAAACAACAACAAAAATTTGAAAATATTATTATTTAATATTTACAGCCAACAATACAAGACGAAATCCAGTGTAAGCATAACAAGTAAATTTCATATGCGAATAGGTAATCCATAGAGTAAGATTTCGATTCTTATAACATGACTTGCGTGTGGTACAAGGTTACTTTAATATTTTCAGATATAGCTTCCATAAAAGTAGTACTGAATGATATCTGAGAAACAACATCCTCAGGAGATCTTCATATATCCCGGGACATTACGACTTGACAGACATCCTTAAGATGTTGATTTACGAAGTCCTCAGGATATCTGAAAATCAACATCCTAAGGAGATCTTCATATATCCCGGGACATTGAGACTTGAATAGGATATCCTCAGGATGTTGACTTAAGAAGTCCTCAGGATATCTGAGAATCAACATCCTCAGGATATCCTAACTGCTTCCCGGGAGATTGCGACTTAAATAGGATATCCTGAGGATGTCTTGTGTTATGGGGGTTGTATCGTCTCAGTTCTTCGTATTCATATTCAGTTTTTTTATTAAAATGGCTTTGCAATTTTTTTTCTTTTTATTATTAGCGTTTTGTGTGTTTACTATATTTATTAGATAACACGTTTTTGGCTTTACGCCACATAAAATCCCATTCAACAGCAAGATTACAAAATATTTTAAAACAGCATATCTTTAGAATTTCCGAGGCACGAGAATATCTTCTGATATCATTAGAATTGCTGGAGATAACAATGTTTTATTCCGTACAGTGTTGCCACTGGTCACTTTAAAATAGTTCTGTTTCTTAATCAAAAATTCGTTAAAGTTTTACAAAAATATGATTTAGGTAATAAAACAAATCCAAAATTCAAACTTCGAGCTCCTAGGCGCCCATGTTTGAGAGGTCTACATTATTCAAAATGTAATGGCTCTAGGTACCGTTGTTTATTCACTGTATGAGAAACGTACATAAATTCATGCGGATTCTTATTTATTTAATTTTGATGGCAGATTCTTGTTTAATTAATTTATTAACATTTGGTGGCATTAGTTTGAAAAGAGATACAACGCAATGAAGGGTTATGCAGAATGCCATTTAGAGAACTACTATCTCATTCGGGAGCAATATCTCTTTTGGGTTAGATGGCACTATCCGGCATTAACGACAACGATAGCGCCGAGAGGAAAATGTCACAAAGTTTCGATACTGTAAAAAAAAAAATATGTAAATAAGACACACACGGGAACAAACAAAAAAAAGGTTTCAATTATGTAATGGAATTTTAACGGAAATATTTAAAAAATGTACTTACATTAATTTATTTCCAAAAATACAAACTCCTCCTCAACAAAAGTTGTAATTTATTTTTCAAGTAGCCATAAATCAATAATAGCTACTTAATCGCTGTAATGACTGCGAGAACCAGTTACCGATGGCAAGGCCTTTCTTTTTCTTATACATTTTCATATTGCAGCTCTATATAGCTTTTATGTCTTCATTTTGAATCCAAGAAAGGAAAAAAAAGTCTTTGGATAGTGAGCAGGAGAGCCGATTTTACAAGTTTTATTACTTGGTTTAGTTATGGTTTTGGGTTTGTTACATCACCGGCGATAAACGCCTCCAAACTTGGTGATTAATTGCTGGTCATCAGTAAAACCGACAAGCACCCTCCCCCACCCCCCAAAAAATAAAAGGAATTTTTATTGGTTTATACTTCCATTAATTTACGGATGTCCTGTACAGATTTTTCAAGTAAAAGAGAAGGAGAATGTAAAATCGCTCTTAGAAGAGCTATTTTTATTTCATTAGTGATCTCATTGTTATTATTGAAGTCTTTTTGTGCAAAATTAATGTCTGATGCATTCTCAAAGGCAGTGCAAAAGCTTCTGTTTCTACAAAATGAGTAAAATGGTTTAGTAAGTAGGAGCATAGTGTATCGGTAAAATAATTTTGATTTTGATTTCTATAGTGAAGCTCCATTTCTAAAAGCAATGAACAGACTTTTATACACCACGCAGACTCTACTATATTACCTCACAAAATACAGACTGTGCTGTACTCCTCTGTACTATCTCTTTAAAATTTTAATACTGATCACCAAGCCCCATATACTATCAAGGAATAAAGGAAGTAAAGGTTATGTTAATTTTATTAACAGTTAAATTTTAAGTTCCTTTCCTGTCGATTCTTAACTTACTACTTCCAGTCAGAATGTAGTTTTAGAATCACGTCTGAATACATAATGAGGAAGCTCTGTATTTAACCACGAATTTCTTCCGTCTTAATGAGAGAGTTACCAGGTATTCCGTCTGCACGCGTCCGCGTTTTTAGGCTACTTTCTCGTAAGGTATTATTACGCCCGGCCGTACTTTAGACCCTTGATAGCTTCGCAGTCTATTGACGTTAAGGTGCCAACTCGGTTAGAATCTTGATAACTTCGGCTATATTTCTTTAGTTTAGATTAGTTTTGGTTTACTTCTTAGCCTCTTAAATTCAAACCCAAGTGTCGGCTTTGATTGTATACTCCAAAACGGATTTTTTTAAACTTTAGTTGGAATAATAAAGGGCTAGTTTACCCTTCTATCTTGTTGTTTTCTGTCACACGAACGCAAACGATTATTCGCTTATCAGTTCTTAAGATTCTTCACTTTCAGCAGTAACTCAACATTACACTGTGAGGAATCTCACAAGCAGAATCCATAATTCAGGCAAAAAGAGATCCATTTTCTGAGTTGCAAGGCATTATCCTGAACACATAAGTAATAAAACGAAAAAATAAAAAATAGGAAAAAGAAATCCTAAACTTAATAAAGCTTGAAAAGATAGACCAATAATTTTGGCATAATTTTTGGTTCTACTACCTTTGTACGAAGTAAAGGAAGTACGAGTATTGTAATCGCGAAAACTTTTGGATATCTTGTTTCAATTGGAATAACCATTTTGACTCCATTTGGACGATGTTTTTGTGGGACATCTGTACGTATGGATAGAATAAAGACCTCTTTTTCCCCAAACGGATTGTAAAATGGATTTAAAATGGATTCAGAAGCGATTACGTACTACAGACGTACAGACGTACGTACGTATGTATCTCTCCTAACTCAAAAATGAGTTGCCTCAGAACCTTGAAATTTTGTTGCTATAAACATGTAGATGTGCACTTTCTTTTTTAGTTATAATCGGCTGCACCAAAAGCATATAAATATTCGTATTATAGCATATAATATACCCATACCCGGGTCGGTGAGCTAGGAGTTTTTATGCTTATTTGTTGGTAAATTGTGCTTTTTTTGCTTTAAAGATGATTGAAATATATTGTAAAATATATTGATATTATTTTCTGGCCAGTGCCAATTTTTGATCACATGGCCGGCTTGTGCCGCCTATGAGGATCGGGATTGTGCCTTTTAAATGATAATGATAATGATATTGTAATTATGTTCCGGTTAAGGTTCTTATGCGTTTAGTTAATATGCATACATCACTTATATAATTACCAAAAATTTTAAAGTTGTTTAAGTGTTACTACGCCTGATGAAGCGGCCATTTGTTTACCTTTAAAACTCTTAGTAGAACTGTAAATTAAATAAGTTTCTACACAAACTTCAGTGTCTTTTTGCCGCCTGCAACCAAAAGTAAATTTTTGGTTGTGTGCACCGAAAAATCTGTCTTTCTGCCGGCTGGGCGAATTGCTTATTTTTGCGTAGAAACTATGATTTTAATTGTAAAAAAATTTTTATCTGTATTTGGTGTTTTATATTTTTGTGTATTTTATAATTTTTAAGGCAGATTATGCATTTTTGTCTTGCCGCGATGTGAGGACTGAGTTGAATGAATGAGAAATATCTCTAATGAGAAATATCTCTAATGAAATATCTCTAATGAAATTCGAGAAAATAAGTTTAAATGAAATGCTCCAAAAAATGCGTATAATTTTACGGAAGTCGTGTGTTGTCCACATCATTTTTGTATGTAAAATTACAAGAAATTCGTTATTCTGAGGAAAAAATAGAAAAGATGTTTAAATAAATAAACAAAAAAATACATGTATATATATATATATATATAAGGGATACTCTTTTATATATCTCAATAAATTGTTTTATCAATGATACCAGTTAAAGTCTAGAACTTTACATTGATAAATCTTTGAAATAATTTCTCTTCTTTCTTTTTTTTTTTTTTTTTTTTTTTTTTTTGTTTCCTTTGTTGAGGATGCTTTTGCTTGATTTCTAACGCTTTTTTCTTCTTTTAGATAAAGCTTCAGCAAGAAGGGAACTTCGCATTCCCCTTCCGGTCTACACTAAAGTTCAAGGTGAGTATTATTTTAAAAGCAGGTTAAAAATAAAGTTAAGTTATTTAACTTTATTAAATAAATAAAGTTAAATAACTTAACTTTATTTTTATTTATTTAATTAATTAATAATATTGATTAAAATAAAGTTATTTATTAGTATGTTCTTTAAAGAACATATTAATAAATAACTTGCTTAATTACGGATAACTTTGCTTGAAATACCTATATAAATCAATAAATGAAATCTAAACAGTAAAATGTTATGAATCGAATTTAACACCATTGTTTTTCAGTGGAGTGGAAACAAGTAATATCTTAGGTTGGAGATTAAACTAAGCCTGTAAGCATTAAATAGTTTTATCAAGCAATATCGCTTCAAACATAACAAAAAGTTTTAATCTGTACTTTATTTACAGACCACAGAAAACGTAAAGATCACAAATATTTTAGAATTTTCATAAAAGAATGTAAACATAAGCTATTGTAAAACAGCTGTTTCAAGTTCTGAAATGGATAGCTTTCCCAAATAAAGGGGTTGATCGATTAATTGATTATTACAAAGAACGCGAGTATAAAGGAGGTGAAATTTGCTAAGCATTTCTTTATCGTTTATAATACACTTTGAAAAATATTCATTAATTGCATGATTCGTTTGCTATTTTATTTTAAAATTAAAACTCGAATGTTCTTAACTGAATAACTCACACAGTAGGAATAATAAAATTCATGATATAGCTTCCGGTCACTTTTCGCATTTCATTCTTATAATTTTAAATATAGTTATAAATGTTTTACCAGGGGCGTCATCTTAGGGCATGCGACTGCATGCGGCACATGCCTATAAGTTTGAAATGACAAAAAAGGGAATTATTATTTTTAACTCAATCGAGTAATAAAATCCTTACTTATTAGTTTATACGGCTTTGCATTGGATAATCGATTTTATTTAGAATCAGAAATTTAAAACAAAATGAACTGCGCACTTTCGTGTCTTCTCTAATTTTGCCTTTGCATACTGTGTGAACACTAGCATCATTAATGAAGTATTGTAATATACAAAGACAAAGGAAAAGCCTTTTTCCTTCTTTTTTTCCTCCTACAACATGAAAGCGTATTTGAATCTTCCCTAAATGCGTAGGCCCAATTTTCCCAGGAGGACTATTAATTTCGTTTTGGCATTTTGCGTTGATTCATTATAAAGGGCAAATCATTTTTTAAATTGTTTCCACCAGATATTAGAGCCCTGTATTATATTTAAAGAAATTAAATAATGAAGAATCTACATAAATGTACTCATTTTTTCGTATTGTGATAAAACAACAGTACCTGGAGCCATCAAATTTTGAGTAACATACGTCTCCACTCTATGGGCATCTGGAAGCCCAAATTTGGAATTTGTTTATTATTTATTTCATATTTTATAAAGCATTTATGAGTTTTTATTAAGAAACTCAAAGGTTTCAAAGCGAGTAATGGCAACACAGTTCGTAAAAAAAGCATTTTTATCTCCAGCGCGCGAGACTGTGAATCGGAAATTCTAAAGATATGCTCTTTTAAACTATTGTGCGATATTGTTGCTGAATTTAATTTTAAAGTTTTTAAGTGCGAAGAACTATAACTTAAGTGCGATTTTATTTAATAGATAAAGGTGGCGTAATATAAAATCTGAAAACTTTCAGATTTAAAAAAATATTTATTTTTTTTTTAATTTAAAGCATGACTAAAATGAAATAGACGGGTTTCTGAAAGGCTTTATTCTCCCGATAGTTAGACGTTGGTCGTTCTCTAAAAAATAAAAAAAAGATGATTTAAAGATGATAAAACATAAAGTGAATGTGCATATAAAGGTCAAGACACTGTATGTAATAAATTTACTGAAAATATATAAACTTATAAAAACATATTAAATAACGTAAAAAATACATAAGCTTAACGCAATAAATAAAACTGGAAATAAATTTATTCCATGTATTCGTAACATGATGAGTGAAATTTGTAAGATTGACTAGCTGATTTTGCTAATATCGGTATTACGTGTACCACTGTTCAAATTTTAACCATAGTTAAAATAAAATTTTGTCAATAAGTAATATAATTCATTTTCGGATTACACTTCGAAATATATTGTAGTGCGATCTGCATAAACAAAGCAAAACTGAATTATGGTTTAACAACATTTTTATACGTAAATTCCGTATTCATCTTTCAAAAACATTAAATTCTGATTTTCATTCATTAATATAATTTTCGGATTATCTGGTATTCCGCAGCATGCCTTTTACAGAAATTCAGGATATGCCCCTGATTTTACCATAATTTAGCGTATATTTCATTTTTATTGTAAATAAATTATTAATCTTAGTAAGAATTTCTAAAACTGCAAAATGATTATTTTCTTAAAGTAGGCATGCAGTTCTGAGTTCATTATTTTCCACGAAAATGTCGACGTAGGCAACACTAGCTAAATATTGATAGTTCTAAATTCCTTTATAACTGAAACTGTTTTATTCCATTATTATATCAATCATTTTATCTTTATTAATATTGTGCTTTTTTCACATCCAACCATTCATTTTCTAGATTGATATTCACAATCAGATTTATTTATATAATTTAAAAAATTTAGTATATGTATACAATTAATTTTCAAACAGGTAATCCCCGATTTGCAGCTGTCCTGTAAATACGTAGTAATTTGTAAACATCGCTTTCAATTTATGATAGAAAAATCTACTATACACCTAACATTCATCTTCCCAATCTAACATAACGAATAATTTAACTATCGCTATTTTAGCTTAGCTTAAATATGTTCAGGAGACTTGCGTTAGCCTACAGTTGGACACAATATAACAATACACCTATTTCAAAATATGTAAAAATTTTGAATATCGTATTTATTCGCTTAGCTAAAATTCAAAGGTACATATTTACGAGCATTCCTATAAATGCTCACATTGAAAATATATTGCATCAAAAGAATGTTCAAAATATGAAGCTTAAATTATTGTTAGTCATCGTAGATACTACAGTTAACAATATTATCGTTTTCTCTTCTTATGGATGATGCTCGAGAATAACTGGCTTCTCTGGAGTACTGAGTTCTCTGGAGTAGCGGTACTTCTTGATAATTTACAAAACATGTCGTTATTCAGAAAGATAAACTGCATACCGTAATCGGTCTGTTCATTTTATAATGTACTTTTCTTTCTAGCAAGCAGTAGTATATTGCATTTGCACACTAGCGCCTTTCTTGACATGCGAAGTGCTGTGTTATTACTTATTGCCTGTCAGTAAATGAAAATTCAAAATTCGAATTAAGATTTATATTAAATATATTAAAACGTCCTTACGTAGAACCATCCTAAACCAGAAATTATAAGCAGTTAAATAATTCAATTTTCTGTTTTCTTTCAAAATTTACCTAAAGTCTTCCTTTTAACGACTTTCACCAGCATTTACAAATTTTATAAAATATATTTTTATTTAAACATTTAAATTTAGTATATATATTTCCATTATACTGCGCTGTTTGTAATTATTTCTTTCCTTTTTCCCTCTGACAAAAAAAGGTGGATTTGTACCACCAGAGTTAACATCGCTGGATAAAGTTTACTGGTGGAACAAACGCTTCAGTGACTTTGACAGTTTATCTCTAGATGATCTTCCATATGTTGAAAATAATGACGAAGATAATGATATCATCACAGGTATGTTTTTTCTTTTGGGATCTGTACAACAAAATCATCACAGTATTAACTATCTGAATGCTAAGTAACGTTTAACAAGCCACATTTACCTGGCTGAATGCCAAGTATAAATTTAACACGGCCCTGTCCATGGTTAGTCAGGATTCGCCATGTTGAATTTACATTGGACGCTTAGATCAGGACCCAAACCCATGGTTAGCTGCAGATCCTCATAGATATTCATATGACGAGGTATGAAACTAGAATCATTAACTGCTGTTGAATGCATAGTGCAACTCTAAGTAATGATCTATCTATATATGATCATATCCCATCTGGTTATTCAAAAAATTTTTGAATTTCTTTCTTTCCTACAAATGCCAAATTTATCGAGATAAAGAAAATTATTAGTCCAAAGGGTCTTTGTCCCTGAAGGACTAATGTTTTCGTTTTGCGGTTTTGCATTGTTCACTATATATGTCCGTTTCACTTTTCAAACTATTGCCGCCAAATGTTAGAGTACTGCAATTTGAAAAAAATTAAATAATGAAAAATCTGCATAAAATGTATGTATGTTTCTCGCATAGTGATAAAGTAACGGTACATAGAGCCATTGAATTTTGAATGCGAATATGCGTAATCCTACTGCGAATATGGGCATGTAGAAGCCCAAATTGGAAATTTAGAATTTGTTTTATTATCGATTTCATATTTTGTAAAACGTTAAGGAATTTTGATTAACAAACTCAAGGATTTCAAAGCGAGCAATTGCAACGTTGTACAGAAAAAACATTTTTATCTCCAGCGCGCGAGACTCTGTATCGGAAATTCTAAAAATATGCTCAATTTAAAACTATATTGTGATATTGCTCTTGAACTGAAATTTTTGGTTTAAGTTCGAAGAACGTGATATTTAATAAATAAAGTTAACAGACAAAATCTTAAAAAACGCCCCTTTGGACGTAATTTAAAATCTGAGCCCTTTCAGATTTCCTTTTACACTGTTATTTTTTTAGTTTTAAAACTTTCTAATTTTTTAACATTGCAAAGATTATGCTCTCATGTCCAGGAAAAGTAAAATTTGTTTCTCACTTGTGGGAAATATTTGCTAAGAACCTCGGGTGTTAACCCTATAAAGAAAATGCACATTACATCCTGAATCGAAAATTCATAACATTTTTTCTTTGTATGTAAATCATTTATGTTTTGCAAGATGAATTTTGTGTGGCAGTAGGTGTAATTTTTCTTGTGTCGCTGCTATAGTGTTACCTATCACTTATATTTATTTACTTCTTCCAATGTTTTCATACAAAAATTAAATGAATATACGTAATCACATTTGGAATGAAAACAAAGCCTATGGAAGTTGGCGGAAGAAATTTACATTTCAGTTATTTAAAAATACATAGATTTTTTAAATTTGTGTTTTATATGTTATCAACTAAACATAAGGATGTTCTTAATATAATTTGTATCATCATTATATGTTCCAAATGTTCATTTTAGATGCTTTTTCCCTTTGCTTATGTTTGTTATCAACTAAATTGTTTAGGGGTGGTTTCTTTTAAACAGAAAAATCACTGCTGAAAATAATATGTCACTATCTGGAGAAAAGGATCTCCTAAACGACGAAGGCAATTTCTGGAGAAAACACTACTAAATAAAAATCTTTTAAGTAGCTGTCATTTGCTAGTTTTTATAAAAGGGCAAAAGTGATAGTAATTGGAACTTTGTCACTTTAATATACTTACTCAGCTTGCATTCACTTTGAGGATGCCGAAATTTTACAGGAGCAATAAAAATACGCTTTAATAAAAGTATATTGCTTGTCAAAGACTTAAATTGATTTTTTTTTCTGTACGGTTGTAAAATGGTAAAATAAATAAATAAATAAATAAATAAAGCCTTTTTACCGGATGACGATTTTTGCTCAAAAACTTAGCCTTAATATGTGTCATTTGGTTAAGGGGAAGAGAAAAATAGTTGAAGACGAAAAACGGTTTCTGCATATAATATGAAGCCTTTGAGTGCCTTTATTTATTATTAACATTTCTTGTATTTTTTACCATCAACATCAGCGATAATTTTTTTTAATTTTAATCCAAAACTTAACGTGTTCGTTGCCCTTTACTAAATTTCTTAATGATAAAATCCTTCTAGATAACACATGATTTTCTAGATAACACATGATTTTAAAACCTTCGAATGCAATTAGAACAGTTAACTTAGAATACAATTAGTGGAATGTTCAAATTAACGACCCAAAATAACTAAATGAAAAATATAATTATACTCTTCATATCTGCGTATTGTAGAGCCATTGTAGAGCATGTTATACACTAAAGCAAATAAAGATAATCTGAATTTCAGATATTTTCTATTTTCCTATTCATTGGCACTTTACCGTCAATGCGGCTGACACCTTACCCGCAATTAAAAACCTGAGCTCATTAGTAGAAAAGATTTATTCGAATCCCGATTAGATAATGTAACTATGCCAATGAAAATACCAAAGGAGCAATAATTAATGCCATGCAAACTTAATTTTAATATACGCAGTGATACATCAATAAAATGTGCAAGCGCACATGTATAAGATAGACATAGGAAGATCAAGCAAAGGCGATGCAACAGCGCAGCGACGTGAAACCTGATTACACAACAAAATGGTCCTGCTTCAGTTTATTGGTGCAGTACTTCTGAGTTGCAATTAATGTTGCTGGCCAATGTGTATAATTGTCCTTATGTGGGAACTGTGTGATAGTTAAATGTGCTACCAAAATTCTAATCTGTGTGAATGTATTAAATACATTCATACAGATTCATTCAATTTTGATATAAAAATAATTATTCTAGTACTCTCTTTCACCACGAAAGAATATAAATAAAACTAAGTAATATTACAAGCTCATTCTCACTGCAAAATATTAAAGATATTTTATTTGTAATTACATGCTGCAGATTTAAACATTTCCTGACTTATACGAAACATATATTCTATGTATTAGAATCTTTTAAATAAAAAATTTATTTCTTCCTTTTTTTCTGAAATAAAGTAAGTATAGGAATATAGAAAAATATGAAGGCTATACACATATGAGTAGATTATATTAGTGCATATTGCCTCCTGATTGTTATGTGCCCCATCAGTGGCCGAGTGATTAAGACCACTGAATACTGGTAGTTCGAGTTCAGATGTGGCATTTATGTTTAAATTTTGCTAATGAAAATATTATTTTAATTTACTTCTTTCCTTCCCGATTCTTTTTGCCACGAAGTTTGCTTATTCCAGATTTTCTATAGATTTAAAAGGCAAGCAGTTTTACTCTATAGTTTAGAAATCTAAGAATAAAAGTGTGAAAGTTTTGCCTGCGTTCCACCGCCCTGCCGCTTGAAGAAAACAGTCTGCTGGAGATACTAATGCTGGTCTTGCTGGGAATACTTTAGACTGAGGTTAGATTGTGTTTCGTAAGTGTGTGTTTGGAATTATGTCACTGTCTAGACAATCTTGCAGTCTCTAACCAAATTAGATTTAAATTGTTGCATTTATATCCTTTCTGAAAGGAAGCTTTGAATTTTTAGCCAGGTCCAGGTTGGTTAATAAATTTGTGTGTATACATACAAGGTGATCGTTATTAAACCTAGCATATTCAGAGCGCTCTATAGCTGTAACACGAATGCGGATTGATTCGTAAATTTGTAGCGAGACAATTCAAAGGAGGCACTGAAAGATTCTGGGAAAAAAATTTAAAACATTTTCTATAGGAGGTGCATTGCATCAAAATGCAAACATTTTACAAATTCCAATACAAGCATCATATTATTTGTTACAGACTATTCATCAATTTAAAGCATACCATTCAAGGTGTATCCCCTCATTAAGGTTTAAAATGCATGGGCAATCAAAAGGGTATTCAAGAGCTGATCGCCAGTGATCTTTCGCCCATGTAACTGCATGCCGTCCTTCAGGTCAGTATAAGTTTCAAGATTCCTCCGATAAACCACGCTTTTTAAACGGCCCATAAGAAAAAATCACACGGAGTGAGATCAAAGGAACGGCCAGCTAAGGAGCGGGAAATGAACGGCTAATCACCATGTCATCTTAAAATGTTGCCGCAAAAACCTCTGCACAAAGAGTCCAATATGTGGAGAGGCATCCTCCTGCATAAAAGTGGTAGATATCTCGCATTTTCGCTGCCTAATTTGACGTAAGACGAAACTAGTGGGCATGTTACAAGGCTGTTATCGTAATTTTCTTCGAAGAAGAATCGCCCAAGGATAAATTGGGAAGAGAACCCACACCAGACGGTAACTTTAGGCGATTCAAGTTGCGTGGAAGGCACGTGGATTTTTCATGGACCAAATTCGACAGTTCTAGATGTTCATTATTCCATTGAGATAAAAAGTGCCTCGTCACTCCAGAAGATGTTCCACGGTCACGAATTATTATAATATTATAAGATAACATTTGAGCAGTTTATAGGAGTTCATTCCGGTAAGAAAAGTCACTGCAAAAGATAAGTGACAGTCTGTGTCGGTAATAAGCAGCTACTGGTTGTGGTTGATCTTAAACAACACCTTCCACACTGCTTCACTTGTCTAAAGTTGCCGTCTGATATGGGTTCATTTCCTAATTTATCCTTGGACCATTTTCTTCGAAGAAAATTATGGTAACAGCTTTGTAACACAGTCAACAGTTTCGTCTTACATTAGCTTTAAACGGGAAAAAATGCACTGTTTTTCTCAGTATATTCCACACTGTTACTTATGATGTGTTTAATTTTAGTGACACACTGTGCGTGTCCTACTGACGTTACGAGCACCTGTCAGTTATTGCTCGACAATGGCCATTGCTACCTACCTTGTGGAAACAGTGGTCCTCGGCGCAACTTCCGGCTTCGAAATTCCAGAAGAGCTGCTACAACATTTTACTGGTTTTCGTACAGTTTCAAAGCGATATTTTTCGAAAAACAGTTTCGTAAAACACTTCGTGAAACAGTTTAGATTAACGCTCGTTGTGG